GCGACCTCTAAAAAATAAATATCAACGAACTAATAATTTTTTTTTATTGAATTTGATGAAAAAAAGGATAGAAATAAATCACGACACTTAATTTAAAAAAAAAATAAAAAATTATAAATATTTGATACTCACATTGTGGTGGTAAATTTTGCCTGGAGAAATTTTTTAAGTATCTCGTGATTTATTTTTATTCTTTTGTTCATCAAATTCAATAAAAAAACTATTAGTTCGTTTATATTAATTTTTAGAGGTAGCTCGAAAACATTTTAGATACACTACTTTTAAAGTTAAAATAATTATGAGTGACATTTAGAAATTAAAATATCGATTTGAAATTTTCAGAATCGAGATTTTTTCAAACTAGAAAATGATAAAATAACGAGAAAAAAAAATTTTTTTTGACGATTTTGGAAATTTTAAAAAATCCCGCGACCTCTAAAAAAATTTTTTGTGAGTAAATTTTTTGAGGAGACTTAAAACATATTTTCACAAGAGACGAAAAAAATATTCGTTTTTTTTTTGGGCCACCCTACTATGCATATAGAAAAATAAAATTAATAAAGCATATTTAGTCGCGAACAAAAAAAAATATGGTTTTAATATATATATTTTTTGAATTAGGCTTAAAAATTGCGAATCGAAAACTAAACCTTTTTATCACCCTGATGGTATTTTCCTTATACAAAAATAGATTTGAAAGCAAAAAACCAACACTGTTTTTTTATCATATAACAGTTATTGAAATGCACCACTGTTAACTCAAGATGAATTCGTCCTAACCTCAAATTTACAACCACATTTACCAAAATTTATATTTCCGTTATTTACGATTATAACTTTATTTATAGGCGATAATAACACAGTATTGTGTACCAAAAATTATAACTCTAGCTTTCACTTGATAGTATATTTGACGTGTAGCCATTAGTTTTTTTGTACATGCGGTACTAAACGAGTTAAAATTATATGTTTGTGGGGCTGTCCTGATTGTAGTACAATCCTACGCAGCACAAATAAATAATGTACTCGTATATTCAAATTATAAAAATATTTAACGTTGAAAGATTGAGCTGCCGATAAGTGAAACATTATTCCAAAATTATAGCAGTTTGTAGTGGTAGATTTTCTGTACGTTTTTATATTTGTAATTGTGTTTGGTGTCGCGTATGTATTATCTTTTTTTTTACTGAAAATAGACTACATTTTTATGTATGGAAAATTCGTGATATACATTCTTCTCATTAATAATACATTGTAATAGTTCCCCCAACATGAAAAAGACCTCAACCGCTTAAAAATGAAATTAATAATGGCAATATTGCCACGTCTATAAACCGACAAAGTTGTTAAATTAGGTTACCTACAAGGTTCCAATTTGGGGCCGTTACCGTTAACTTATTTATTAAAAGCATATTTATGTACGGCTAGCCGCCTATGATTCTGGAACCTACCTCAACCTTGATTGGTTGCATGCACGAGCAAGACTGCATCCTGTGGATGGGGCACTGCGTCAAGCCGTAAGGCGACGTGGCGTGCAATGCGTTGATGTCTCTGCATCCATGAAACGTCTCGTAGGGGGCGGTATATGGCGGTGGGGGTTGTTGGTTATTCTGTCCGTTGATGTACCTAGAAAAAGAACTGGGCATCATCCATCTGATCCCTCTGAGGTGAAAAAAAAAAAACAAAATGTAGGCTATAGCTATGCTACTGTTAATATACATGCCAATTTAAGGGATATTTAGATGATAACACGGACTGAGTTAACACCAGACCAAAAGACAAGAATATTATTTTGACATAAGACAAAGGTAAAGCAGCAGCATCAATTCTTTGATAAAAATTAATGACGAAATGAGGTTGATGATGAGCAGAAGCGGCGTTAAATTAGCAAAGCAAAACTTAATCATTCAGATATTACAATTTTATAAATAATTTTTAACAAAGGGGCTCTGCCAATATCAGGCTATTGGATCAATAGACGACTATTCTATTTTCCCTTTCGAAAATTATTTGACTATAAGTTCGGCAGAAAAGCACCAAAAGCAGAAGCCACCTCGACATCCATATCTCACCCCAGGTACTCCGAGGGCTGCAGCTTCATCCCCTGTTCCATGCTGCCTGCCAGCGTGTCGGGCGAGTAGTTTCCGCTGGACACCATCTCCGGACTGTAGTTGGAGTTGGTGTACTGCTCGGGGGTGGTCCAGACGGGTTCGACCCCCACCGAGGGGATGGGGGACAGTCTCCCGCACGAGGACGTGTTCGACGATGCTCTGGGTCTGAAGTCAGGACTTAATTGGAAACCGCTGCTGGGAAGGAAAGTGGTTTGTAAAAATATGATGTCTAATTGGATGGTTTCGTGATGGTGGTGAGATAGATGATCTGTTGGAGGTCGCGATGAGGTGGTTTTGATGAACTGAATTGAGGAGATAATTCTACACGTGAGAAAAAGGTTTTTAGGCGACGTTGTGAAAAATGGAATTTTGTTCCAGCACTGGTCTTCCACGACTTCCAAATATAGATAAACGAAACTTAAAAAGTAAATTTGACTACCAGTAAAGGTTTTTATTTATAAATATACCAAATTAAAGTTAGACATACATATTTTTACAATTCTAACAACGGATGTTATGCTACAAAGAAAATACTACTAGCCAAACGATTTTATGTTCTCTTGGTATATAAATATGAATGTACTGAAACTGATTTTTAACTGAAAAACTTTATAGAAGCTTTTGTCTTTAAACTTCAAAAAAAATTATTAATTTGGATTTTTGGTTGGGAAGTTGTGACAAAATACCCCAATATTATAACTCGACACATTTAAAAAACGGCCATAAATATAATATATATCTTTTTTAGTTCATTTATGCTGAAGTAATGGCAATGAAACTTCAAACTTTTTAGTGTTGATAGTCAGGTACACCCAGAAAACATTTCTGTCGACTTGTACACACTTCGCGAACGAAATTTTAAGAACAACCACCACGTTACCTGTGAATGGGAGAATCGGGGAACAAATCGAGACTCTCCGACACCGACGAACTGGGACTGGGGGTGGTATCCGGCAAGCAACCTCCGCCATTCCTCAGGATCTCCACTTTCTTTTTTGCCCGCCCCCGTTTTTTCTCGAATTTACTCGTCTCCATGGAGGCGGCCCTCCGCCTCACCGATTTGCCTGGTTTGGCGTCTGGGTTGATCATCCACCAGGAGGACTTGCCGGTGCCTTCGTTCTGTACCCTCATGAAACGGTTGTGAAGTGACAGGTTGTGCCGGATGGAGTTCTGGAATAAAAAAAGAAAAGTTAGTAGCGTGAACACAATGACCGCACTGTTGATTAATTGAGGTGAAGTTTCGTGTAATGATTCTCGATTATTACGCGAAACTTCGTCCGACCCTGCATCATCCCAGTTAATCAAGCGTTTACAATGCAATATCTAGGTCAAGTTCAGTGTGGTTGTTAGCAAATGCTTAATGAAAATTGTTTACTTTTACGTCATTTAAAGAAACGAACTTATTTCAGAAACTACATTTAGATATATTAAAGTGTTATATAAAAATGGGCCTGGAACTGTGGCAACGCCGCGCCCGGAGTGAGATATGAGGGCGCGCGACCAGCGGTCAAGCTCTGACCGCCCCATTATGTGCTTAGCCTCCCTCGATATTGAGATATGCGTTCCTTGTCTCGATAGCACTTAGGCGTGACGTCGCCGATGTCTCGGGACTTTCTGAGATGAATCGTCGCTTTATTTTTATGTCAGAGACCGGATTTCTAGGGGAATCTCTTAAAACAGACATTTCTGTTGGATCATTGAATGTCTTTTGTTAGCATTGACTCAAGGGAAATTTTTTTGATCATACACACAGATGTAAAGACAAATGAATTCTTGAAATTTGTAGTAAGCATATCAAAAACTGTATTTAAATGTTGCTGAAAAGACAGTTTACTGATTGTCATAGTTAAGATTATAGGAGTGAGTAGAGCCTGTAGAAGACGGGATTGAAAAATTTGTTAATAGAATACAAATAGAAAAATTATATTAACAAAAATGCTGCGATGCAGAGGGATACGCCCCAGATCTGGGGAATTATCGGAAAAACCGGCAATGCTGCCCCGGAAGTGGCCGGAGGCGAGACCGGAGCAGTCGATCGGGCGCCACTTCATGTCTTTCCGGATCCAGGTAACCTCACATATGATTATGCAAATGCTCGGGACAGCGCGGTGCTTTATATTCTGATGGGGGCGCTGGGATACGAGGGGGCGAGGGGGAAGAAAACCGGTCCCCCAACTTCCCAACTGATACTAATCAAAGTTAAAAGTTTCTATTTTATGCCTTTGTAACTCGCTACGGGAGAATTTGCAGTTGAAGTAGCTTGACAGAGTGATGCGATTGTGACTCGACTGTTTTATTTTTATTAATTTTTGTCCCGTAGAATTAAGAAAATTTTGTGAATTTCGGGTGATGTGCTACAAGAGCTATTACTAATTTTATGCCGTGCTATTAATTTGAAACATGGCAGGAAACTACATTTATAAGGTGCAATATATACCGTGTACGTGCGTACTGAAAATTTAGAAAATTAAACTATCACATCAAGCGTAATCTGCAAAAGATGAAAGCGGGTCTCGAGTGTATTAAATATGTATATTAAACACACGACAAAAAGTTAATTGTAAAAGTTTTCATTCACTCGCAGAAACGTTTCAGCGCTCAATTTTACAATGATGGAAGTTTTCATTCACTCCCTCCCGACAGCCCGGCGTAGTTTCACAAAGTAAGAAATTTTTATCGCCGAGGAAGGGTATAATATCGGATCTCTAATGATTTTATGGGGAATTTTTAATTTGCCGTAAAATATTATCGGCTCTGCACTTCGAAATCGTAACCGACTTATAAAAGTTTGATTGCTACCGTCGCTATTTTCATTTATCGCATTCCGGATCGTTTCTTATTATCGCCGTTTTTATTACTGGACGTTTTCAGCCGATGAGCAGTAAAAAATCGAGTTTTTTGTGGTTTCTACGTCAGACGCATCCTTTGCCTCCTAGCCGTCCTATTTTAGTCTTTATTTTATTCGAAACGCATAAAAAACGCTGATAAATGTATTTTTTTTTCGAAACGTTGACATTTTAATTATGTTTTCAAAATATTCGTAGTTTAAGATGTGGATTTTGGTTGGTTGTTCGCCGATCTTCATTCTGCACTTAAGTTTACGTGTCAGCACAGGCTGACGTTCGATCACTCTCGACGCTGGCACCGCAGGATGTTCAGGTGTGGTCTGGGTTCGATCTAGACAATATAAAATTCCGGAAAACCATTCCTTTATGTGTGGCGGTCTTCTACGAAGGTCGTTTCGGCGTTCAAGTTTTGGATTTTTCGGGCTTGTTAATTTTCGCCGGTTTCGGAAAGATAGTAGAAAGATTTTTGCGCCTTCCTGCACTGTTGGCGTCCGTCGGCTTAGCTTTATACGCGCCAAAATCCCCGCCGTCGCATCATTACGTCCCCATTCCCGACCGATAAAAGGCTGTTGCAAATGTAACAGGGCTCACCCGCGCTTCATTACCCCGCCGTAAACCTCGAGGATCCTCGCGGAGAGAGGATATACCGGTTGAATTATGAATATCTGAAGAACGTTATTGCCCACCTGCGGCAGTTAGGTCCTCGGTTTTATCCCGGGCGGTGATTTATGCCGCGACCCGACGGTCGCTAACGAGACAGTTCACCTAACTCGTCGGCGGCAGCGGTGATATACGAAGCTGAGGACCATTGGCGCCTGGAATGGAGCGCCGAAATCTCGGCACACAGGCGACGCCGAAAACGGCATTCAAATAGGCGGCTGTGGGAGTCCCCCTCGCGGGAAACCCGTGCGAGACGAATCTGAGAAGTCGTTCGTTGGTTTACAGCAATGGTTAGCAGAGTTATTAAAAATATAGGGGCACCTCTCTTGCTTGCATTAAGAAATTCTTTACCTTTGAACACGGAATAGTTGCTATGGTTTGGGATGTCAAAATGGTAATGCTTAAGAAGCATCGATGACGTGGCAATCTATGCATTGATTCTAATCTTAATATCACGTCGTCTCACAACGCAAAATATGTATCGCGTAGTCACGTGCTTTTACACGTGCATAGGGCGATTAGAGAGTCCATGGAGTAAATAAAAATTCATGGTATTATGAATGGTATAGTAGTTTTACTACAAACATGCACAAGAATCTTGTGGTACTTTGTACTTACAATTTCTATCCCTAAATCAACATTTATCTGCCTTATAGGAGCATTTTCATAACTGACCTGATTCTGATTACATTAACAATTAAATAGATTACATTTCACCCCTTTTCAAACGTAATTTCGCTTCCTTTAATCTAATGAACACCTCGGGATTGTCCCTAGGCGAATGAACAGTAAAAAAAAATTAGATCATAAGAACTGTGTCTGTAAGTAGAAGTACGGATATTAATCCATTAGAGAAATCTGACCTGGGGTAGATACAGTCAAAGACGTTCAACTTTGGGGTGCTATGATTTGTTAATGCGACTTCTTCCTGATCTGAGTATCGTTCGGCAATAGGAAGATGTGGGGATTCTTCTAATTATTGGATTGTTAGTAATTATTTGTGCTATAATGATCATGACAATGATCGATATGGCACCACAATGATCAGAATAACCTTATTTAAGAGATCATAGAGGTGATTAAAGTTTTCACATTAAAAGACATGTCTAAAAATCAATAATCAGTTTTCTCGTTCAAACATAAGGCCTGACTGACTTGGTGGAAGTAGTATATAACTGTTCTGTCGTAGAATTTAATCTCCGTTATAGGAAAATTAAGTAATATTTGGAACATTTGGACGCGAAATGTGTAAAAGCAGCATAAATTGAGACTGACAGTGGTCCTAAAATGCTTCCCTGAGGAACACCTTTGTGTATATCAGGTACATTAGAAAACACCCGACTCAAACACACTTTTTGGCGACTTGCAGAAAGATAATTAAAAAGAACGTAACAATTAGAATTATAACGTCAAATTACTTGCGTGGTAGGTATGTATGGAATGCTTTACTGTAGTTTAGAATCACCAAAAAATGTATATTTGTGGATATTTGGACCACGGTAAATGTCGATAAACTTTGACCGCTTATATCTCGAGAACCAATAAACCGAATTTAACTTTTTTTTTTAAAGAAGCATCTTTCCGAGTACTTTATAATTATAATTCTTGAAAAAAACTAAATTGCAAATTGATAAATGTAATCTAATTGCTTAAAAATAAAAAAAAGTGTTAACAATTTACTGTGGCTGTCCTAATCAACCGATTTCAATTTTTCAAAAACCATTTGAAAGTTTGAACGGTCTTTTCTATGTGAAAGTCAAGTATCTAGATGCTTTATTTGAGGCTCTGCAACATTTTGAAAATTCGACAATTTTTTTTCAAAATTGTTTTCGAAAAATTATTTTGCGAAAACTACCCAACCGATTTTAATGAAATTTGGTGTGTTGTTTTATTATACTCTCAAGTTTTTTTTACCAAAATTAGAATTCCCTCGGAGCAATTAAAATATTTTTAAAGAATTATCCAAGAAACTTGATTACTTTGTATTTTTTTCATCCATTATTGCTATTTTGCAACATCGGTAATAAATTTATACATTTTTAACTTGCAGTATATTGTGCAAAATTCATTTCTAAAACGTTCAAAAAGGTATTTTTTTTAATTTTTCAAACATTTTTGCAATTTTGAAAATGTTCCGGACCTCGCTCGGATCTAGGGATCTACCCTTTTATTATGGGAGTTGTACTGAAGGTAATCCAGAAAAAATTTGCTTGCCCCCTCCTCTCACATCCACCTCAAAACAGATCTGCCCTGGTCTAATATATAGTCCAATTAAATAAGCCGCAATTTTGGTCAACTTGTCTGAATTTTTGATATAAGTTAGTTTGAGGTATATAATAACAATAAGTGACAGTATGGCATAGAAAAAAATTATTTTAGTGTTAAATAATAAAAATTAACGATTAAAAAATTTTAATTGTTTCAACTTTTTTATTAAAAATTAAAAAATATATCTATTTATCTGAACAGAAAGTTTACATTTTTTAAAGTAGATTATTAAAAAAAAATAAAGTTCATTCATTTTCCTGCTTATGATTTTTTAAATTTCTGAAATCATCCCTTAACTTCTAGTCTCCCTAACTCTGTTAATTTTAATGGTATAAGAAAAAGTCAATATAACATTTTTATGTAGAATTTTTTGCTCTACAACTTTTATAAGAAACT